GAATACCAGGGAATTGCATGTGGGGGAAACAATAATGCACAGACCAAACAGAGAAGGACATTTCTCCTTGTTGTGGCTTATCCCCAGGCAGCAACTAAGCACCACACAGCCACTTGCTCACACCCCCACAGTGTGTTGGGGGAGAGTATTAGAAAGGTAAAAGTGAGAAAACTCGTGGGTTGAGATGAAGACAGTTTAATAGGTAAAGCAAAAGCCACACATGCAAGCAAAGCAAACGAAGGAACTCATTCACCACTTCTCATCGGCAGGCAGGTGTTCAGCCATCTCCAGGAAAGCACAGCTCCATCATGCCTAACAGTTACTTGGGAAGACAAGCGCCTCAATTCCGAACGTTCCCCCTGCCTTCCTTCTTCTTACCCCAGCTTTATATGCTGAGCATGACGTCCCATGGGACGGAATATCCCTCTGGTCAGTTGGGGTCAGCTGTCCCAGCTGTACCCCCTCCCAGCTTCTTGTGCACTCCCAGCCTACTCACTGGTGGGGTGGTGTGAGAAGCAGGAAAGGCTTTGACTCTGTGTAGGCACTGCTCAGCAATAGCTAAAACATCCTTGTGTTAACAATACTCTTTTCAGCACAAATCTAAAACACAGCCCCACACTAGCTACTATGAAGAAAATTATCCCAGCCAAACCCAGCACAATCCTGAGTTATAACTTGGCATTAATGTGAATTGCAATGAATGGATCTTCAGCATCGTTACTAATCTGGAAATTAGCCATTCCATCACCAGAAACAGACACCTGTTTTGCAGTACATCTGTTGCCCTCCTTTTGTCCAGAAATAACATCACAGTAGGTACCAGCAGGCAGTCCAGTTTGCAAACTGACATTCATATTCCTATGTGAAAATAAGTGAATGCTATTTATCCATTGTTTTCAAAACAGATATTTCAAACTGGGTGTAGTATTTTTGAACCTGATGCTACTCCCTTACTTTGAAGGGCAATGTAAAGAGTGAGCTTTCTGATCCTATCCCTGCATCACTCCCTACACTCTTGTTCTGGCTCTATAGACCTGGTATGCAATTGAATGACTCTAGCCTAGGCTGTAGTGTTTGCTATCATCAAGAGAAGAGGACATTCCCTTTCACATCAGTATTGCTAATGAGGGATGCTATGCTTCTCTCTGGGGACATAGTCTCTCCCACTGACTTACCAGTCATCATTATTGAAAACGATGAAGCCTTTATTACCACGGCCAAAAGCTACTTGATTGCTGCCATTGTCCCACCAGTTGGAGAAAGGCTGGCCGTCCACCACATTACGGAAGATAACCATGTTCCTGAAAATGCAAGGAACAGCTGTCACTGAGGCTGCAAGAGCCCTAAAGACATGAGGAACATGAAGCAAAAGCAACTGCTTTTACTTATTTTATTTTTTTCTCCACAGCGTCCTACTTTATTTGACGCCAGCGATGTTCACAAACCCAGTCGTTGCCACAGGTAGTGTCTGCATTGATGGTAACAGGCTTTGTTGATCCATCCGAGTTACTTGGTGGTCCAATCCAGTCATTGACATCCTGTAATTAAAAAGAGAAGTTTCAGACCCCTTACTGCAGAGCACCCATCTGTAGAGAAAAGCTAGATGGAGCATCGAATTTCC